GCCGATCCCGCGGCTTCCCAGGGCTTGGGGCCCCTCCACGCGGTTCTTCCACCGGTACCCGAGGGTCGACGGCATCTAGGGCCCCGGTTCTAGGGTGGCGGCGCGGGGGCCTCTGCCGATCCCGCGGCCTCCCAGGGCTTGGGCCTCGGCGGGAGCCGGGACGCCGTGGGTTCGCCGTGGGTCGCCGCGATGTGGCGCCTCTCCACGCCCGGGAGCTCCCGGCCCTGCTGGACCAGCTGCAAGAGCTGCGCCAGGCTCACCGAGGCGGGGGCTGCAGGCGCGGGCGCGGGGTCCGGGCCCGAGCAGCTCCGACCGCCGGGCCGCTCCATGCCGGGCCGCTCAGCCTGACCCGCGTGCGGAGTAAACGCTTCCGGGTGGAGTGGGTGCAACCACCGTCGGAGGGAATGAAGGGGGGTTCGTAGAGCATACCAAGCCGGCCCAGAAAGGGGGGAGCACTTGAGAACCACGACCAGCTTCGCGCAGAAACGCTTCACACACACGGCAAACAGCCCGCACCAGAGTCTGTAACGTGCAATGCTTTAGAAGGAACTGGAAGGCTTGCGCAGAACAGGCCGTGCATGCGGACACGCTGATGCAGGCAAAAGGACCCCATTTGGCACACATGCATGGGCACCAAGTACAAAACTCTTTTCTTCTTGTTAAGATTTATTTATAAGAGAGAGTGAGCGAAAAGGAGAAAGAGCACGAGCAGGGGGAGGGACAGAAGGAGAGGGAGAAGCAGACTCCCCGCTGAGCAGGGAGCCCCAAGCGGGCCTCCAGGGACTCTGGGTCATGACCTGAGCCAAAGCCCAAGGCAGATGCTTAACCGACTGAGCCCCCCAGGCGCCCCTTCTTTTCTTTCTAAAGTAATCTTTTGGGGGGGCGCCTGGGGGGCTCAGTGGCTTAAGCGACGGCCTTTGACTCAGGTCATGATCCCGGGGTCCTGGGTCGGGCTCTCCTGCTCAGCGGGGGAGTCTGCTTCTCCCTCTGCCTCTGGCGCTCTCCCTGCTTGTGTTCTCTCTCTCTAAAAAATATAATCTTTTTTAAAAATTTTTTTTAAAAATGAAGTCATCTGGGGAGGGTGTAGGGGGGGATGGGTTAGCCTGGTGATGGGTATTAAGGAGGGCAGTATTGCATGGAGCACTGGGTGTTATACGAAAACAATGGATCATGGATTACCTAACATCAAAAACTAATGATGTAGGGGCGCCTGGGTGGCTCAGTCGCTAAGCGTCTGCCTTCGGCTCAGATCATGATCCCAGGGTCCTGGGATGGAGCCCCGCATCGGGCTCCCTGCTCAGCGGGAAGCCTGCTTCTCCCTCTCCCCCTCCCTCTCCCCCTGCTTGTGTTCCCTCTCTCGCTGTGTGTGTCTCTGTCGTAAATAAATAAAATCTTTAAAAAACAAAAACTGGAGAGTCATCTCTTAAAAAAAAAAAACTAATGATGTAGTGTATGGTGAGTAACATAACAATAAAATTGAAAAAATAAATAAAGTCATCTCTTGGGGCTCGAACTCACCACCCCTGAGATCAAAAGTCACATGCTCCACCCACTGAGCCAGCCAGGCACCCTGGGTACATACCTATTTTCACACCGGGCAGAAGTTCACACCTACAGGGACACATGCAGCTGTGGAGAGATTGCCCGTGGCCTCAGGAGAACCGGGAATAAGCGGCAGCACTGCAGAGCCTCGCTGCTCCCTCCCCATCTCCTGCCAAGGAGACTCTCTATTCCTGGTGTTCGTGGAGGGGATGAGAAAAGAGGAAGGCAGGCCAGGGGTGCCACAGTCCTTCTGGCTGCTCGCAAAGTCAGTGCCCGTAATTGTCAGGTTTCTAAGTTTATGGGAAGTTCGCCTCATCTGGCAAACACTGCCTTCACCATGTAATCGAAGTCTAATTACTGTTAACAGAACGAGCTGGCCACCTGTGTCTCCCGAGGTGCGGCCGAGAAGGGCTCTTTGGAGGGAGGAACACTACAGCCTTCAGTATTCCTGCCCAGAAGGTGCACTCTGAATCTAGTCCTGTGGAAATGAACAGACCAAGCAAAGTGAGAGACATTCTGCAAATGACTGGCCTGGACGCTTTATAAATGCCAGTGTCATAAATGTCTTGGGATGCCCACAAAGACGGTTATGGTAATTCTGATCAGATGGGTGACTATGTGGACTCTCTTCTGTGGCCCCTCCAGGTCCTCTCTCCACCCTTATCCACCCAGCTTCCTGCACCCTGGCATCCACAGACGTCGCAATGGGCTCCCTTAACCTCTGGCTTTGGGGTCTGGCTAGTGGGGACCCCAGCAGAAGAAAGAAGGAGAAGGAGGTCAGTGTATTTATTCCTCAGTTTCCCTCCCTCCACACATTCCCACTGGCGGCAGTGTCCCTCCAGAAGCTCTCTGGCTTTGGGGCCCTGCCATTGCTCCCTCCCCTCACCCCTTCAGGCCTGTTACCAGTTTCAGGTACAGCATGCATGATCACTTGGGACATCCGGACATCCCTTCACCTGCCACACCTCTATAAATAGTCCCTTTATTAAATTCTCCTCAAATTTCCCAATATACACGTGTCCTCTGTTTCCTGTCCATACTCACCAATAACGGAATGGGCCCCCGGAACAGCCTCAGGCAGAATACTGAGATCAGACTGATCATAAACTCAGTGCAGGGGAAGCCTTTGCCGAGGGGGCAACGCAGCCAGGTAATCCACTGCGTGCAGAGGCATCGCCATTACCCAAATTCTCACTGGGGGTGGAAGGGGTGAAGTGGAGAATACTTCGTTGTTGCGGTAGGGAGATGGCAGGCGAAATGGCTGTGGTTCATATGGCTGAGGACTGGCACCAGGAAGTCATCGTAAGGGTTGCCAAGTGGCAATGCTAAGTGTTCAGCCCTTTAGGGTAGCCTAAGAGTATGCTAACACAAGGGCACTGATGGGGAAGGGGTGGGACTCTGAGATGGGACGGGGACGTTTGGGCAGACATGTAGTGCCTCTGTTTCCCTGGACATCGGCTTCAGGACTCTCTCCACCTCCAGTCTTCCCTGGCTCTTCTCAAATTAGATCCCAGAACAGCCTGGGCAGAGAAGTACGAGGCCCACGCTGAGAGCAGAAGGCCCAGACAGAAGGAATTACAGACCTTGCTGAACTGCCTTGGCAGGAGCCACAGCAGTGTGTGTGGGAATGGGTTCTCAGGGAAATAGACCCAGGAGGGTGGAATGTAAGGCTCCGTTTGGCCAAACTCAAGGCCATGGGTGCTCATCCAGGATTTGGGATTTAATGTGTTGGCTCGAGCACCTGGGAGAGGCATTGATAGTCTGTGAGGTTGGTTAATTAAAGCCTGGACTTAATGGTAGCCTACGGTTAGTAAACTTGACATGCCAGAATTTCTCTGGCATACTGTAGAGGAAGGAATCCAAAATCTCAGAAAGGTGGGAATGCTGGATTAGATTTATTATGTGCAACCTGATTAGCCATCCCTCACCACATATTTTAAGGGGGTCTAGAAAACCCTCCCTTCGCCAAAGCATTCAGAAATGCTTTGGTGAGGGGTGCCTGGCTGGTTCAGTCAGTAGAGCCTGCAACTCTTGTGCTCAGAGTCGAGAGTTTGAGCCCCACGTTGGGCATAGAGTGAAGAAGGAGAAGGAGAAGGGGAAGAAGGGGAAGAGGAAGAAGAAGAAGAAA